GTGATCCACCCGCCTCGGCCTCCCACAGTGCTGGGATTACAGGCTTGAGACACTGCGCCCGGCCCAACGGTTCCACTTTTATTTGCTCTTACAATCCCTAAAAAATTGCTCTTGAGTGTTATTAAATTTAAAAATGAATAAATGTATGCACAAATAAAAGCTTGAAACCACTGCTTGAGGCTTTCTTAAGACATGCATGCATTCTGGTGGAGGGCTTTCCTCACTAGTCTCATGTCATGGCTAGGATCCACCCCTGATCCTCCCACCCTCAACTTCCCACAGCTACCCACCTGCAATGTCACACATTTCAGCATCTGTGGCATTTGCCAGTGCCTCCTCCAGCTCAGGCTCCAGGGTGATCTGCTCCTCTGCTGGGATTTCCCTCTTGGGCTGAATATAGGGTTTCCCTGATGGGGAGATGAAGGATGGTTCAGGTAGAGGTAATGTCTCCCAAGATCCTGGCCTCCAGGTTCCTTTTCTTCTCCAGGAGGTGGAATGCTGGGTCACAAGGGGACACTGGAAAGCCTAAATCCTCTACAAGCTCAGTACTCCTGAGTCCTCTGATTTCTCAAGAACTGAAGAGTGCAAGCTGCCATTTAAGTGTCAGGGCCTCTGAGTCCCTAGGCAGCTGGGAGCTGGAAGGTGAGAGGGAAGCTGGAGGGGGGACATGTGAGAGACAGCACAGCCACTTGGGTTCTACCAGGCATGGATGTCAGGGTCCTCATACCCTTCTTCTCGCCTGTGAAGGGCACCAAGTCATCACGCTCTTTGACTTCTAGTGCCTGCTGCTCCAAGTACTGCAAAAGGGCGTCTCGGTCCAGTGGCCCCGTTGGGCTCTTCTTTGTCTGGTCACGTTGTCTTAGTCCAGCTGGCAGGAGCATGTTCTTAGGGATGAGTTTTGGGGAGCAAGTCAGACCTCCCCTCTGACCTAGGCACTGCAAGGGTTCCCTAAAACATCTTTAGACACCTTTCCCCTGGCCTTCTTAGGACTCTAGGTCCTGTAGCAAACCCTATTCTCAGCCACCCAGAGCCCAACACCCTTCCCAAATGCCTGGGACGGCCCCTGTTCCCTGTGCTGGAGCCCCTACCTCAGGGTCCATCTCCTGCAGCTCGCAGTCCAGCTGCTCTAGCTCCTCGGGGCTCAAGGTCCTTAGGATCTCATCTTCATCTATGTCTCTGTATTTCTCCAGTTCCTTCTGATATGATGACATGGTGGCCCTCACCCCCTCCCCACTGTGTGGCCCTCACAGAGCCTGGGGAATATGGGACAAAAGGATGGACAATGGTAAGATGAACAGAGACACAGCAGGGACACAAAGAGACCAGCCCGGGGGGCAGAACATTGAACTGGATTTCTTGGAGATTAGAAATCCAGCTGAAGATGGGAAGTTGGGGGAAGATTAGGTCGTTCTGAGTTAGAACTAGAGTCTCTGCTTTCTGCTTCCCCAGCTTCCAGCTTCCCTGGATGGGGATCCCAGACGTCTAAGCTGGGTTTGTCTTCCCACGGTATGACAGAAATCATGGAGCACCCCTCCGCTCTAACCTCACTTGTGAGTGCCCTCGCCCTGGCACAGCTGCTGGAAGCCCTGCCAACACAGCTGGTCCCTTGCCCAGTTCCTATTGAAAGGGGGCAAGGGGCAGGGGCAACAGAGAGCTTCAGGGAAGTTCCTCCTCTCTTCCTCATAATCCAGCTTTTTTCCTAAACTGTATAAAGCAAGGAAAATGGGGAATAGGGGGAAAAGACTGTCTTACCCCATTCTCATTTCCCTTTTATTGTGGGGGATCAAGATTTCACTTTCTGTGTTTGCCAAAATTTGAAATCCTAAGGGAAAGCAAGGGCTCAGAGCAGCCGGAGGACTTCCAGATTGGGGGAAGAGTACTAAGGCCTCTGGAGGAGGGACTGAGTCCCTATAAACTGTCCCTTGCTTTGGACAGGAAGGTGACACCAGACCAATGGGTGTAAATGGGGTAAAGTTTCTTTAAAAACAGTGGAAATCTTAAACTTGCACAATCTTGTACAATGTAAGATACACACAGGAGCTATACATATAAACCATGCTGAATATGAAAGATCTGGAAAGTATGTGAGACATTCACATCAACAACATAAACCACACAGTTAAGGGGTAGGACAGCACAGTGGCAGAAATATAGAGTGACAGAGACAGGGACACACTCCACATCATTCCCCGTAGGAGCCACTCTTCTCCTCCCATCTCCCACCGTATAAGCCCCCGGTCTTCCCCACCTACCAGTCCTGGCGGCCACCTCCCTTCTCACCTCCCCCGTGTCAGTAGGTCGGTCTGTTCTACTAGAGCACTGTCCCAGCAGCAGCAGGAGCCCAGTGCCGGGGGAGAGGGTGGGGGAACAGTGAGCTCAGCATTTTATTATTTTAGCTCTGGCCAGGTGGGGGGTAGTGGGAGATCACATATACACAGCCCCCATACCCTGCCCAGCCCTGAGCGCCTCTAGTGGCCATTGACAGCCATGGCACCTCCTCCACTTCCCTTCATACAAGCCCCAGTCCTAGACATCAGGGTTCAAATAGAATCAGGCAGTTCCTCCATATTTGGTGCCTGCTATTTTCAAAACACTGAGTGTAAAGTGATATAAAGGTCAATATAAGGTTGTGTTTTGGTGTATAATTTTCAGGTGTTTATAATTTAGTTGGAAGAATGAATACAATTTAGAAAGGACAGCTCATAATAAATGCTACTGAATAAACAGAAAGACCCAATATATTCAGGTATTCACAAATACTTCTTGCTCCCAACCCTAGTGCAGACACCAGACAAAAGGGATCTTTCTATATTTATTAGATTAAAAAACCTGGATGAACTACGGGAAAAGGAGAAAGAAGAAGAGAAAAGGATTGGGCAAAGATCGGAGGTGACAAAGGGGAGAAGCAGGGAGAGGAAAGGGAACAGCAGGAGCTCCAATCAGGGCAGGGAAGAAGTTTCTGAGGACTAGACACCTCTTCATTTAATGATAATTTTCTGGCGCAAGGCTCGGGGCCCAGAGCCAGGGAGAGGCTCAGGAGGTGGTGGGCCGGGGCCCAGGGCTGAGGCAGTGGGTGGCAGTCCGTGGGCAGTAATGTACTTCTTGTAGGCCTCACGAATGATCTTGAAGGCTCGAGCAGTGGCGTAGGGTATGTCTGTAACAGGGTCCCGGTATAGGGCTGGACGATGGGTCACTGGACAGACCTCCCGAACAGGGACTTTTGGGGGCCGCCCTTGAGGGAACCATTCCTCGAAAGTTGCATCATCACTAAAAGTGATGAAGGTACGTGAGCAG